ATTTCTGCTACCGGTTTTCCAGAACCTGTCAGAATCTGCTGAATTTCACCCCGATTTAACTGCCTGAGGATCTAATGCCAGTAGAAACCAAAAGAATAGCTTAAATGGATTTTAGAACACTGTAAACAATGTACATCAATGTAAACAGTCGATAGGAAATATATGAGATCTGTAATATAACCTGGAATACAATTAATTAAGATTGTCCACTGCTTCCACAAAATTTTTCTTTGGGTATAAACTCATAAGGTAAATTTCCAGTGAAATTGATGGAACTGAACCTTCTGCAGCTTCAAACAGGGCCTCAAAATCTGTTCCAAATGGTCAAGGGATTTTCTGGAGCAAATTTTGGGGATAACATAAAAAAAAGTGAGGGGAGAAAGTCCTAGTTTGTGAACCAATTGTTAATTTGTTGCAAGTGCAACAAATTCTACAGTTTGAACTAGAGCTGTGATGTCAGACAATATGCAGCGATGAATAACTGGTTTTATTCAAGTAGAGGCACACTTGTTTATTCAAGTAGAGGCACACTTGTTCCATTACCCCTTGGAATTGTATATAGTAAATATTTTTTATAGAAACTATAAAAGATCTTTAAAATGGAGGAGTTGAAGGCAGGGCCAAATATTTCTTTCTGGAACAGTCTGCTCCTTGAGATCAGATAGGCACTTTCCTACTGAGATTTAAAAAACGAGTAAAACAATATTGTCTTTGAAAATGAGCAGAACTGGGTATGTTTATTTTTAATACATTTTCTAATATATTTTCTGTGTTATTGTAAATAATATACTAGTCAATCTTAAGGGCTCCAGCAGTTTTGTGATATTGTTGCTTTAATTCTTGTTATTAAAATCTTTCTGGATGTACTCGCCAAAGTATTGTTATGGAACAGTATAGACATTTTTGTAGTAATAAAATAAATGTAGCGAATTATCATTTGCTGAAAAATGAGACAACCTCCCATGCTTTAAATAAGAATATACAGAGAGGTGGTGTTTAAATGATTGCTCTTAGCATTTTCTAAGTGTCTATTTAGTCATTTAACATTTGAGTAATATTTCACCCACACATCTGCCTTCAAGTGTCCAGATGTCTGATGAGTTGTGGTTTTAGAAACTGAACACTACAATAAAGAGAGGAAGTAAATGGTGAGGTAACAAAAGGGATCTGCATCTGTGCACATCTTGTCTGGATTTACACATGAAGCAGAATGAAATGGGAAGTAGTTTTACAGACAAGATGGGACCGTGGCGAGACAGATACTGCCTGTATCTATCCATCTTTAATTTGTTAACTGTTATTATCAAAAATAGAAACAGATGACAATATATTTTAATAAATGGAGAGGACTTACTAAGAAAATATCACTAGTATTTTTCCTCACTCAAGTAAGCAGTTGCCCAGAGTCCTAAATCGGGCAAATAAACAAAGAAATAAAATTATTATTATTATTATTATTATTATTAAATAAACAAACAGCTTTAGCAGCTATTCATAGTAATGTGATGTCTATTTTAAGATGAGAAAGGAAATGAGAAATATTAATAATACTGTTAATATTATAAACTTGGGGTTGGATATGGATAATTGTCACAGTTGGAACACTGGGAATTAAATTTATTGATTTATTTAAAAAAACCTGTAAAACTTAATTAAAAACATTCTTCAGGACACAATAATATCCCTGAAATCTCACTTTACCTGGGTCTGGAAGGAGCTAAGGAAGGCCAGTTGATTTGTTTGCATAGATGGAATTCTGGGGATCCCAACACCTCAACTCCTAAGTGTGCTGCAAAAACGTTTCTGTTCCTGTACTTCATTTGGAAGGAACCACCATCTGGAGTATACATGGTTAATCTCACAATCACCCTTTGATCCAAGTAGATTGAGCTGGCCAGAATGTTGTTCTCAGCTATGATGGCTTTTTGCACCTTCACACAGCATCAGTTCATCATAATTTCCTACTGGAAGCCAAGTAGCAGCTCTCTGAATTATTGAAAGGGCTCATTCCATTCCAATTACTCTTTTCTACAATTGCTAAGTTTGGTCATTCATTTTCAGGTTAGATTTGCTATGAGGAATGAAATTCTACACAAATCCAAATATAAATGAATGGGGATAAATGTGTTTTAATTTCACTATGGCAATTCAACACTGGATGAATTTTTTTAAAGCTGTGCAATAAATATCGCTCAAAGAAGGTCCAGCACTACATAAAGCTTTTGGTTTTGTTTTGAAATTACCAAATAACACTTAAAATAATGTGCAATCATCTCAGACTAAAATAATTTCATTTCGTATGCATTTTGAATGTATTGAGAGGGATATTATAATTTTTATTTCAATTTCCTCTCTTTTTGAATTAACATTTGTTAAAGAGAATTATTAAACAGATTTTCTTTTCACTATTCCTTTTTTTCTAGTGTTTTCCTGTAAATGCAGGGTCTGCTTTTTTAACTTCTGATCAACTAACTGTTGATCCAATGTGACAGGAATTGACAGGTTTGTTATCCAAGCCTGACCTCACAGGCTGAGTGTGTGTGACTGGCCTAAAGTCAATGTCCAAACTAGACCACACTCTTCCATCTCTTTCTACCAATAACATTTTTACTATAAAGCAAACAAGAGTCACCTAGATGAGATGGGCAATGCAGAAATGTGATAAAACATTTTTGATGATTCTGTGTACTCCATTTAGCCGAGGTGGCGCAGTGGTTAGAATGCAATACTGCAGGCTACTTCTGCTGCCTGCCAGCTGCCTGCAGTTTGGCAGTTCAATTCTCAAGGTTGACTCAACCTTCCATCCTTCCGAGGTCAGTAAAATGAGGGCCCAGATTGTTGGGGGCAATATGTTAACTCTGTAAACCATTTAGAGAGGGCTGTAAGCCGCTTAGAGAGGGCTGTAAAACACTCTGAAGCAGTATATATGTCTAAGTGCTATTGCTATCTAGTCATCATTTTGGTTGTTTTAAGAATTAGCAAAGAAAATCATGTCAAAAAAGAATGACATCAGAAGTTGATATCATTCACTTGCTTCATTTCAGTTTCCTGGGCCATGCAGGAAACTGCATTTCCTCTTTGATACTTCAGCATTCCAGCTTCCAACCACAAGCTGCGCATATTGGTTGCATGTTTTGTTATGTGGTTATTTTAACTAATAAGCATTTTATCTGCTTAAGCAGATATAATTGCTTTGGACAATGAAATTTTTTATATAGGTTATTGGAAATGTTTGAGATAGTTTTGCCTGTCTTTAGGTCTTCTGAAAGTTTATATTTTAGCTTAATATGATTTACCTAACCCTTTAAATCTAGGTAATTATTAATGGAATACCCTTTCTTTGGTTAAATTTATATTAAGATTAAGCTACTAAATACAATAGCAGAAGCATTAGATTTGAAGACAGGGAAATAGTAAAGCTTGAAAGAATAGAGTCATAAAGATGCATCAAGTTACTGCTTTCCAATCTGTCTTCTAAAGTCTATGCAGGAAAATAAGGAAGAGTATGTATTGGAATATCTGCTTAAATTTATTTAGCTCTGCAAAACTGAAAGAAAAACAAATACTTTAAATCTCTCTGTTATGTTATTATGAATAAGCAAACATTCAACTTGGATGTACATTTTTGCAAGATTGAGTTTTTATGGTTGGATCCTGAGAATATTAAAACAGTGTAATATTATCTGGTGTAAGAATTTCCAGGAAACTTTCTAAACTGTATTTTGATTTTAAATAGACACTGCGTGGCTTATAATTTTTAAAAGAATAGCTTTAAAAAAGGAAAATGATCAGCCCCATAAAACCACATGTATAACAAATTCAGACTGCCAAAGGCCCGATAAGTATCCTAACTCTATGCCTGGGAATTGTCCAGATTTTAAGCTAGGTCTTAAGGTCCTGGAACATTTGAAGGGTAGGAATTGAATATATCCATGGGGAGTTCTTGTTTCAGAAGACAGGTACTGGGACAGAGAAGGCAGGTTTTAATGGCCCCATAAAATGATGTATATCTATAGGGAACCCATCTGACCTATTCTGCCTTGTACTGGATGGACAGAAACAACTAGAGTAGACAGATTAAAAAGAATCTCTTCTACAAAGATTAGCTTGCTGATTTGTTTGTTTGCTTGCTTCCTTTCCATGAGTGTCACCTGGCACCAGGCAGTTGGACACTAATTAAATAAATACCTGAGATAATTCATGTTGATAATAACCCTTCCTTATGAGCTGATTGTTTAATATCTTTCCAACAATAAATTAACTATAAATTTCTGACTACAAGTGATAATATTTCTATCATTTTAATTTTTTATCTTCCAACGGATAAAAAAGGTCATTTACACATACTTTTTTGTCAAAACCATCTTTATTAAAGAAGAGTGTTACAACAGGCTTAAGAACATGGTTGTATGAAACCAGCTACAATGAAAAGAGCCTTATATAGAAACGAAGATTATTATGAATGCACATGGTGGCAAAGGCAATAAAATCTAGTCTCTTTTATAGCAGAAACTGCTGGCACAAAAGAACACTCTAAAAGTATGTAGTCTTGCCAGTGGATTTGGACTTACGCTATGCTATTTAATAATTTAAAATAAGAGAGTGAGCAGAATAGATTCATACTCAACTATAATTTTCTTATGATTAGCCCCAAAGTATAGACTTTTCATTACTGATACTAAGAATAGAAATTTAGTTTATATTCTAATGCTGCATTTATTACACATTATTGTCTTTTTTATTCAATCCATGCAACTTCCAATTACATGATTTTCTTTTCTGATTTAGGCAAAGAATAAATATACAAAAATAACTTTTCTTTTATAGTTTACCTTTTTATTTACCATGTGACTGCTCTATCAAGAACCAAGTGACACCAAATACACTAATCTAGTCAGCAATTCCCTTTAAATCAAAATTTTGTCAGTACATCTACTTACAAAAATGGGTGTAAACTGTTTATATAAACAAGAGCTAATAACTGTAACCTATAGAAAGGGAAAGGTCAATCCTGTGATTTTATTAGAATGGCACAAAAGTGAGAAGTTGTACAACAACACATTGGTTCAGTTTTAAATTTTCTTAAACCCCCAAGATAGTGTTAATGATTGGTGAATAGAGATTTACCATAGGCAGACAACTCATGCATTGAGCAATTCATGTTCTTTATCTGTTTTCCCAACAGCATCTGGGTTGGACAAAGGGTCCAGATCAGCAAAGAGGCTAAACCAAGCTGTTAGATCTTTAGAAGAACTTCCAGCTTCTGCAAAAAAGAAAGCATAGACAATGTTGGCCAAGTCAGTATTTGTGTTTTACTGCAGTTTTGAAGGATGACATGAGAACAAATGGATTTAGGAGGCATTACTCAAGAAAGGATTTTAGACACATCTAAGAAGACCCTTTGCCACGTGTGCTTATGGTCAGAAAAGTATTCTGCATCCGGTATGTTTACCCTATCTTTCTCTTTATATATTCATTGCATATGTAAATTTGAAGCCTAGTTTTCATGAGACTCTTCTCAAAAGTAATTTATCACACAGTCAATGTAATTGCAAATACAACATTAAAATGGACAAATGAAATCCAAATTATGTACATGTTTGTATATGTATTCCAAGGATGGTGAATACTTTAGTCAGAGTGCAGCAAAAATAAAATATAGCTCAAAGGAAACTATTCTTTGTAAATAGACCTGAGAATATGGAGGGTTCTGGAGAAGTCTGAGCTCAAGGGTAACATTTTTTTAAACTTATCTTTTATCAGTTACCTTTCATTGGTGTCTTATTGACGTCTGGGTTGAAGCTGTTGGATTTCTGTCCTGTCTGCACTACAGGTGATGGGTTAATGCTGCTGGCTGCCCAACCTAAGATTCAATAAAAGAATTGCATTTCTATGAATCAATAGTAATTACTTAATCATTTTAAATCATTCAAGGCAAAAATACCCAAACCGTTTTCTGAAAATCAAAACTCTTGACATGTCCTGAAATGCTGCTTTCATTTTGCTTTGTCATGTCATTGATTTAGGGAGCTAAGGTTACCTTAGGCCTGTATATTTTTCTTTGAATTATTTTAATTTTTCACAAGTTCCCTTTGTGTATCTTAATTTTGGCTTAAACATGGGATGGTTCTAAATCTAAGAAAGAGATCCAGCAACAGAATGCAGTTCTTCTGGGATTAGCTGTTACTAACAAATTAGAACTAAATAGAGTTAGGAAAGCAAAAACCTTTCAGTTAAGGTAGCAATATGGTGAGGGGGAGGTGTGTGATGCAGGGTTTTTTTTTTCCAAATCGCGTTGCTACTGGTTCCCTCATGTGCATATATGTGCTTGTGCGTGGTGCTTCTGCGCATTCACAGAAGCTTGGATCCTCCCACCATCGCCACCGGTTTGCCCGATCCAGTGCGAACGGCTAGCAGCCCACCACTGGTGTGATGGCTCAGCAGTTAAAGGCACTGAGCTTGTCAACTGGAAAGCTGACAACCCAGGTTCAAGATCCAAGTGCCGCACCTGCCCTAGCTCCTGCCCACCTAGCAGTTTGAAAGCATGCATATGTGAGTAGAATAATAGGTACCATTTCTGTGGGAAGTAACATGTTCTGTGTGCCTTTGGCATATAGTCATGCTGGTCACATGACCACGGAAAATGTCTTCGGACAACGCTGGCTCCCTCGGCCAAGAAACTGTGCCCTAGAGTCGGACACCACTAGACAGGAAAAACCTTTACCTTTAGCAACACAGATAGCCCTCAACATATCACCATTCAGTGACCATTCAAATGTGACATACAATGGTCCTTGTACTTATGACTGTCACAATGTCCCCATGGTCACATCATCCAACATGATTCAGACACTTGGCAACTGGCATGAAGTTGAAGTGTCCTGGGATCGCCTGATTGCCATCTGCAACTTTCTTAGCCAGTTTCCAACAGATGAAATCAATGGGGGAATCCAGATTGGTCTAACAACCTTGTCGTTTACTTCACAACTGTGTCGTTTAGCGGTAGAAGTTTTGGTCTCAATTGAGATTGTAAGCAAATTGATTTTAAGGGTGCGTATTTTAGTTTTATAGAAATGTGCTATGATTACTCTCAGTTTCAGGTGTGAAATGAGTTAAATAGCAAGCTGAACTAGGTTTCTAGTCCAGTGTTTAGATAGAGTAGATTAAATTAGAATGCTTTATTAATTTTATAGATTAATTCTCCAATTTGCAGAATTGTAGCAAAAACGCTATTGTTCTCTGCCAATGAAATACATTATAAGAAATAATAGTTATCACAGTTTGCATTTCAGTCATACAAATGGCATGTTGTGTGCATATGCAATATTTCCACTATTATTTATGGAAGATTGGGATCAGCCAAGGTACAATGACACAAGTTCACAAATCACAAACTGATTTTAAAAGACTGAGGAATAGAGACCAACCCATAATTCTACCAAAGTGCTCATGGACTTTAGAGGATTGGAAAATATTTTATTTATTTATTTATTTGTTTAAATTTCTATACCGCCCTTCTCCAATATAGGACTCAGGGCGGTGAACAGTCAAGTAAAAACAAGACATACAAAATCTAAAAACTGTTTAAAATAATTAAATATTTTGGCCGTAATTAAAACAATTCCAATTTAAAATCAGTTTAAAATTTAACTCAAGCCAGCCCAGCTAGTTGAAATAAATGGGTTTTCAGGGCCTGACGAAAAATCCGGAGGTCTGTTATTGTACGTATCTCTGGGGGGAGGTTGTTCCAGAGGGTGGGTGCCGCCACAGAGAAGGCTCTCCCCCTGGGGGTCGCCAGCCGACATTGTCTGGCGGACGGCACCCTGAGGAGGCCCACTCTGTGTGAGCGTACTGGCCGGTGGGAGGCTATTGGTGGCAGAAGGCGGTCTCGTAAATACCCCGGCCCTGAGCCATGGAGCGCTTTAAAGGTGGTCACCAACACCTTGAAGCGCACCCGGAAGACCACCGGGAGCCAGTGCAGCTCGTGCAGGAGAGGTGTCACATGGGAGCGCCTGGTCACCCCCATAATCCCCCGCGCGGCCGCGTTCTGGACCAGCTGGAGCCTCCGGGTGCACCCCAGGGGGAGCCCCATGTAGAGAACGTTACAGTAGTCCAGGCGGGAAGTGACGAGTGCCTGAGTGACTGTGCGTAGGGAGTCCCGATCTAGAAAGGGGCGCAACTGGCGTATCAGGCGAACCTGATAAAAAGCCCCCCTGGTCACGGCCGTCAAATGATCTTCTAAAGACAGCCGTGCGTCCAGGAGGACGCCCAAGTTACGAGCCCTCTCCGTGGGGGCGAGTGATTCACCCCCAATAGCCAGCGATGGCATCAGCTGGCTATATCGGGACGCCGGAAGCCATAGCCACTCGGTCTTGGAGGGGTTGAGTCGGAGCCTGTTTCTCCCCATCCAGGCCCGCACGGCCTCCAGGCACTGGGACACCACTTCAAGGGCATCATTGGGGTGGCCTGGGGTGGAGATACCAGCTGGGTGTCATCAGTGTACTGGTGGAACTCCACCCCGAAGCCACGGATGATCTCACCCAGCGGCTTTACATAAATGTTGAACAGAAGGGGCGAGAGGACCGACCCTTGTGGCACCCCACAAGCAAGGTGCCTCGGGGTCGACCGCTGCCCCCCTGTCAACACAGATTGCGACCGGTCAGAGAGGTAGGAGGAGAACCACCGCAGAACGGTGCCTCCCACCCCCAAACCCCGCCAACCGGTGCAACATGATACCATGGTTGATGGTATCAAAAGCCGCTGAGAGGTCTAGCAGGACCAGGATAGAGGAGCAACCCCTATCCCGGGCCCTCCAGAGATCATCCACCAATGCGACCAATGCCGTTTCCGTGCTGTGCCCAGGCCGGAGGCCGGACTGGAGCGGGTCTAGATAGACAGCTTCATCCAGGTACCGGGGAAGCTGTTGCGCCACCACACTCTCAACAACCTTCGCAACGAAGCGAAGGTTGGAGATTGGACGATAGTTAGCCAAAACAGCCGGATCCAGAGAGGGCTTCTTGAGGAGGGGTCTCACAACCGCTTCTTTCAAAGCGGCCGGCAGGACCCCCTCACTCAAAGAAGTGTTAACAATCTTCTGGAGCCAGCCTCGTGTCACCTCCCGGGAAGCCAGTACCAACCAGGAGGGACACGGGTCCAATAAACATGTGGTCGCGTTCAGCCGTCCCAGGACCCTGTCCATGTCCTCGGGAGCCACAGGATCGAACTCCCCCCAGATAACACTCTCAAGACCTGCCTCAGTCATCCCGTCCGGACATACCCAGTCAGAGGCCAGCCCTTCCTGAATCTGAGCGATTTTGTCATACAGATACTGCACAAAATCCTCAGCTCGGCCCTGCAAGGGGTCATCCCGCACTTCCAGATGGAGGAGGGAGCGGGTCACCCTAAACAGGGCGGCCGGACGATTATCTGATGACGTGATAAGAGCGGCAAAATAGCTAGTTTTCGCCGCTTTTATCGCCACTAGGTAGGTCTTAATATGAGACCTCACCAGTGTTTGGTCAGATTCGGAGCGGCTGGTCCTCCAACTACTCTCCAGGCATCTTTTCCGGCGCTTCATCTCCCTAAGCTCCTCGGAGAACCAAGGAGCTAGGTGAGTTCAGTGCCGGGTCAGAGGCCGCAAAGGCACGACTCAGTCCAAGGCCCCAGCAGCCGCACTATCCCAGGCGGCCACCAGGTCTTCAGCCGAGTCATGAGCCAGAATCTCAGGAAATGGCCCAAGCTCCATCTGGAACCTATCAGGGTCCATCAGGCGCCTGGGGCGGAACCACCTGGTCGGTCCCGCCTCCCTGCGGTGGGGTGCAGAGGTTAGAAAGTCCAGTCGAAGGAGCGAGTGGTCAGACCATGACAAGGGTTCGATGGCTATATCCCCTATATCAAGACCACTCAACCACTGACCAGAGACAAAAACTAAGTCCAGAGTGTGTCCCCCTGTGTGAGTGGGGTCATGAATTAACTGAGTAAGGTCCATGGCCGTCATGGAAGCCATGAACTCTCGAGCCACTTCAGACGTTTCACCGATAGATGGCAGGTTGAAATCCCCCATGATGACAAGTCTGGGGGTGTCCACCGCCACCTCGGCTATAACGTTAAGCAGCTCTGGCAGGGCCGTTGCCACGTGGCAGGGAGCCAGGTACGTGACCAACAAGCCCATCTGTACTCCACGACCCCACTTCACAAAGAGGGACTCACATCCGGCTATCTGTGGAACAGTGGTCTCCCTTGGATCCAGACCTTCCTTTATAATAACCGCCACGCCCCCGCCCCTGCCCTGAGCCCTCGGCTGATGAAATGCACGGAAGCCTGGTGGGCATATATCCACGAGGGGGACTCCCCCCTCCTGGCCCAACCAGGTCTCCGTAATGCCCGCCAGGTCCGCCTCCCCCTCCTGAATAAGATCGTGAATGAGGGGGGCTTTATTAACAACGGACCTGGCGTTGCATAACATCAGCCGAAGGCTCTGGCCCTGAGAATCTGGACAACCTGGGGAACGAGAAAAGCATTGGGGATCGGAGTGTGCAATCGCTCTAAGATAGCGAGTGCGCATTCCCTGAACATGATGTGGTCCCCAGCTTCCGCCATATCTGCCCCTCCCACTCACTACACTGATGGAACAGCCCTCTTTAAATCGAACTCCAACCCCCTCCCCGACCTCCGGTTCTACGTCCCTAGTGTTGTAGCCCTTTGCTGAGGCTGGTCTTGAACCCGGTGGATTTCCCCCAGAACCCACCCTAATCCCCCCCGAACCCCTTAAAATTTTTGTTAAAAACCCACTAAAAAACCCACTTAAAAAACCCCTCAAACTCTTCTTTGCCGCATGCCATCTCTCGGGGCTCCAACGCCCGT